CAGCTCGATTTGATGCTAGACGCGTCTTCCCATCTTGATAGGCAAATCTGTGAAACAATACAAGGCGGAAGCACCCCGTGTTGCACAACGGAGATGTGCCTTCAGATGCAAGAGTCGCAGCTCGCGGAAATGAAATTATCAGCGAGCTGACGAGAAACTATCTCGTCAACTTGCACAGCCCTACGGTTCTTCAGGTGCCTCGGATTAGCGGAATAATCTGCCGACCTCGATTGTATGGACAGCCCCCCGAGGGTTGCCTATACGTTCGATACCCACGCTCGTGATCTACCAGTAATCTAGTCAGCACCTTGCGTACCTAGGTAGTCTGGCGGCCCGTATGCTGTTCCAAGAAGTGAGCTTAGTATATAGCTCCACATTGGGTGTAATGTAGGTATGGAAATAGATCTTTGAAGCGGACTAAGCTTCGAGAACTTCTGAGGGTAGAGCTTCGCCGAGGCAGTGCATACGAAGGGTGTAGGAGAATTGTGGAAGTCCACTTGCAAATATACTTATATATAAGGAAGACTCTGGCCAGGAATTTTATAACAAACTCGATCACATACAACACAACCACAAATCCTCTCAGACACTCGTCTTTCGACTAATCCCTTCGAGACCGAGACGCTTGTTCCGTCTTCCCACAAAACAAAAAAAACGCTCCTATTAGAAGTTACCGTTTTAACTAAAGAGATCGCTGCAAGATGACGCTCACTCTCTGGAAAGACATCTCTCCTATGGGCCAGCCCCTTCGGCAGCCGTCCAACAAGTCTCCGCACGTTCTGATCATTGGTGGCGGTGTCACTGGGTTAATATCGTAAGTCGATGCCTGATTTCCTAGTGGAATTTGTAGGACACAATGCTAACTCTTGCGTTCTAAGGGCTTGGGTACTGCTTGATAAAGGATACCGCGTTACTATCGTTAGTAGCGCGTGGGTGAACGACGAGCAGCGCCTAACGTCGCAGATCGCGGGGGCCCTTTGGGAGTTCCCGCCGGCCGTATGCGGCCAGCACACGGACAAGATCTCGCTAGCACACTCTAAGCATTGGTCCATGACGGCGTACCACATATGGGACGGAATAGCATCTATCCCGGCCCTGAGCGAAGCCTCCGGTGTGCGTATGATGCCGTCGGATTTCTTCTTTCCAGAGCCCGTGGAGAGCGACAAGGCCCAAGTCTCCAAGATGACAGAGATCATGGCCAGCGGCGTGAGAGGGTTCTATCGAGGAGCCGACATCATAGACGAGCGAGGAATCGACCCTTCGTACGGGGCGGTTGACGCATACGAGCTGCTGGCGCCCGTGATCGATACCGATAAGGCCATGGTGTGGCTGACAGAGCTCGTCGAGAGCAAGGGAGCCAATCTGGTCACCGAGACGATCCGAAACGACCTGGTAGAAATCGAAGACACGCTGCGGGCTCGGTTTGAAGCTGACGCCATCGTTAACTGCACTGGCCTTCAGGCCCAAGAGCTCGCCGGCGACGAGAGCGTCTATCCTATCAGGGGTGGCCTCATCCGAGTGATTAACGACGGGACGGACTTCCCGAAAGTAGACGCGGCCCTGACTATCACGGCAGACGCGGCTCACTCATCTAACGAGATTATCTTCCTCGTACCTAGGAACGACAACATTCTTCGTAAGTACCTGACTCACATCCAGCCGAGATGCGTATGACCAGGGTTGCTGACATGAACGGCAGTGATCGGCGGTATTACCGAGCCGCATGAGTGGGATTTGGACCTCAATCTAAGTACCCCCATCATCCGTAGGATGCGGGAGAGGTGCGAGAGATTTCTCCCCGGCTTAGAAAATGCTAGGGTGGATCCCGAATATCCGTTCGCGCAAGGTCTACGTCCCTTTAGAGGCCAGAACGTAAGGGTCGAGCGTGAACTCCGCAGGACGGGTAGCCGCATCGTTCATTCCTATGGGCACGGCGGCGCGGGCTGGAGTTTGTCGTTTGGCTGCGCACGAGACGTTGCGACGCTTGTCGACGAGGCCCTCAATGGGGTCCCGGCTCGACCGATGAGCGAAACGGTCTTCGAACGAAAAGCAGCGGGATTCCAAAGGCCAATGCCGAGGCGCTGAACAATCCGATTACGTCTCTTTTTCTTACACTTCTCTCGGCGTCGATATCATTAAAATGGGGCACGGAGAGGACGAGCATAGGTTGGCGTATATCCCATAGACGAAATTCCTTTTTCTCACGTCAATTCCAATTATGTATCAAATACATTAGTTCATTATGACAACGTTGCATTATAGAAATCAAGTAGTAATCGTGAAAGAGAATCTAGCGGTGACCTATACCAAATCATCTGACCACCATGTAGGACAGAAGCGAATGGGGTTGAAGTATGAGAATGTCTTGTAGAGAGCGTTACTAATGACGATAGTAGTCAAATTCGTTCTTACAAGATTGGGACGGGTAGGGCTGATGGGCCAAGGCTTATGCTCCGAACCGGCAGCCAGGTATGCATGAGATTATGAGTAAGCGGGGGAAATATACGCGGTAGATTGAGAGGCTGTATAATCCCAACTACTGACGAGGTACAGTACCTGCGTCGCACGTAAGAATGCCGGACTGGCCGTAATGATCTGATAGTCTCACCGCAGAAGGGGAGTCACACGGGAAGAAACGAAGCCTAAGATGAGTCTTAAGATGAGTATCACGTGAACACGATGATACGCACCCCCAACCTATGAGCCCAATCGATGAGCTTGCTTGAACGAAAGGCGTGCGGCTGGTTGGCATATCTCAAGGTTCCGCCTTCGGAGATGTCTTGGTATCGATGAAGCGGGTGAGATGGATCGACTTACTCGAGGTAAGCTTTGCGGTGAGGATGGTATGCTCGTCAGGCTCGGTACCAATCGAAGCACATATAAATAAACCGACCACAAGCAACTTTGTAAACTATAACAAGGAGGGAGGTCGCAAAGATTCTCTGAGCATTTAAACACGATGGCCGTCTTAGGTATATCATGTAAGATACCCTGGGTAGGTAGGTAAGTATCTCCGATAGGTCAGAAACATGACAAATTGTAGAATTGCAGAAGAAAGGAAAGCGAAAAGAAAAAAAGAACCTCGCTAACGTACTAACTTCCATTCATTCGGCAATCGGATTGATTCAAGAAGTGCGGAACAGAGATTGCCTAATTACATATCTTTAACTACCTACCTAGGTACCTGGGTACCTAAGGAGGGATTTAATAGGTAACTTAACGAGTTGTCTGTTTCATCTTATCACCTTGGGATACGACAATGCTCTGTCTTATATCCAGATATCTCAACAAGACTTCAATAGCAGAGACGGAGAGGAGAGAGATTGATGTACGGAAGTCCCCATCAAAAGTTTTGTCTATACGTGCCACCTGATAGCTTTTGATGCAGCTATCTAGGACCTAACACCATGCGGCAGCCAAAATTATGAACGTATACAAAACTTTAGCTTTTATAACATCCAATTTTAGCTTCAATATGCTAATGAAAACATTAAAATTAGACCTATTTTAAGACCAAAAGCTGCTCTATACACCTATTTAACTTTTATTGTTTGAGGAGAAGATTTTAAGTTATTATGTATAAACGAAAGTAGTGTAATATGGATAGTACATGCGCTTAATAGCTGTTGCCAAGCCCTGTTAAAGCTGGTCAAAAGCTAACAGGGGCTGGCCTATGGACAAAACTTTTGATGGGGACTTCCGTACGCCCTGGTACGGTATTGGCGGCCATTAGGAGGTGGGTTATGTCACATAGCTTTTGTGTCGGGGTTCGGTCCTAGGAAAGACCTGAGTTGAAACCGGTACGGAACCGGAATACTATGGTACCTATCCCCGCTATTAATCCCGCCGCGAGCGAGATTATAAATAGCGGGCTGGCAGAAAGCTAACCTTGTCTATTCCGTGCCTGTTAGGTATAGCGTGTCCCAATTCTCCATTTCTGCGTCATTCTGCCGAGGCGTTCCCCAGGGCACCTCACCGCCCACTACCCCAGTGCAACACGTACATAGTACGTAGATTTCCAGGTATTACTGTACACTACCCCGTGCATCACCACCACAAGACTCGAACATTAGGTAGATCGGGGTTAATATGCGCCGGTGTTGTACGGAATTCTATGGAAGGAAAACTACATAACTTAGATTAGGACAGATTTCCGCTCGGTCCTCTTCCATAGCTTAGCTAAATGTTGAGAAGGTTTAAATTTACTCAAGATTAGGGACGTGGGTAGATTGTTGATCACGAGCAATAAAAATATTTGTTCATACCGACGTAAGGTACCTAGGTAGGTACATGTTTCTAAGGCAACCCCAGTGATATACCGACAAGGCGCTCAAAAGACACAAGGATGCACGGACGCAAGGTTTGCTTTATGTACTTAATGTGCGTACTTCCTATACTTGCCAACCTAGGTTAGGTACCTAAGATACTCCTCCTGAAATCGAACGATACGTGACGGCTACCTAACCCAAAGTAAGGCGGTTGCAGAAGTACATACTGAAACTAGTGTGGGTACGTATATTTATGAGCCGCTAAGATCTTGTAAACGATGGACAGACAGAAGGTTCTTAGCCATACGCACTTAGCTACATGCAGAACTAAGGCGGAACTCCACTAAAGTGTAAACTGGAAATACCCCTAACGTTTGAACCTGCCCTAACATGGTGTAGATGCAGACTTTACTAAAAGGGCGAGCCGTCGAGGACAATAGCCTGGTTCGCCGTTCCGTCCATAAAACAAACCCTTTTTTCCAACGGTTGCCAATTCATCTGTCAACCTCCTTTTCAACTGCACCTTCAAAATAATCATCACCCGCCAACTGCAGCGCCTCATCTCCTGGTCCCGCATTCACTTACTATCGCTTATTTCGACTAACAGGATGAGATTGATACTACGTCTTGCTAATATGACCGGTACTCTCGATTCTCTTTGATCTGGCGTCTGCTGGACCGGACGACATCTTCCAACTTATCTTCCTTATTAACACTCGCTATTCAGCAGTTGCGCTTGAAATACAAGATACGCACTGACCAAATTTACTTCTTAAATACTTCGCTTCTCCGCCTACGTAGCAGGGAATTGGCTAGACAATTCGAAATCAACCTCAGCGTTTCGCTTCCCTTGCAGAATCTACTATCGGCTCGAGCTGGTAGAAGATATGTCACCTTGGCTTCTCCAGGATCACGGCGAGGACCTCCAGTCCTTGCAAGATCGCAAAGACGCAACTTATAGAGAAAAACTCGAACCACCTCACGTGATGGGGATCAGTACGGAGTCCCCTGAGGTTGTTCTTCGGGAAGCATATGTTTCCGCAAAAGACGTAGCTGTTGAACGGCCACTACACCTTTCCAGCACCCCGCCCGTCAACTTTGCCGTGGTTCTTCCCGGCTTATATCGAAGTGGCTACCCAGAGGCTGAGAATTATCCGTTCATGCGGACTCTTAAGCTCAAGACTATTGTCACCCTTGTCGGGAAGGATCTCCCCGATGGCTATCAGAAATTTATTGAGGCGAACCATATCAAACACGAAATATTCGACATGGCCGGTACGAAGAAGGCCGAGATCCCTGTCAAGACCATGCAATCAATTATCTCTATCGTCAGCAATCGGGAAAACTATCCCCTACTCATCCATTGCAATCAGGGAAAGCACCGGACAGGATGTGTTGTCGGTATACTACGCAAGACTAAAGAATGGGACACGGCCAGCATTATTCGAGAGTACAGCAAATATGCGGAGCCGAAGGTTAGAGAGACGGACGTCAAGTACATTACCGACTTTAAGAGAGCCGATATTCCGAGAGTCGCACCAAGGCTGACCGGGGCGCCGTACGATGTGCGGACGTTTTATGGCATGGTGATGCTGGCATCCTTCACCTTGTCAGTTTGGATGTACTCGGGCGCCAGACTCCTAATACTCGCGACATAATTATCGATGGCGCCGCCACTATGATTTGAACATATAGGAGGAAAATCGGAATATATAAGCTCCAATACGCTTAAATTTCGTATAGAATTGGAGCATCGCATCTGGAGGAGAGGGAGGAGAAGGAAGAGAGGGAGGAAAAGGGAGGAAAAGGGAGGAGAGGGAGGAGAGAGGAGAGGGAGGAGAGGGAGGAGAGGGAGGAAAGGGGTCGAGATTTGGGAAAACAATTGCACCATATGAGGCGTTGAGGAAAAAATTGATGTCATTTCCGCGGGTTCGAGATACAGGGGATTTGCACAGGCGGTCGGTTTAGGAGACGATCAAGAGCTGAGGTGTCTCCCGGCGTTCGATTAAGGGTTACTTCCGACGGACAACAACTCCGTCGCATCTTTGATTTATTTTCTTTTGTCCTAGGGGTTTGTGGTTTCGGGAATTCGTCAGGATCCAAATAATTAATAGAATTGGAGGTGCCTGGTTACAGCTAGGATGGGTTAGACAGATGATTAAAGAGTGCGGTGAAGCTTAATAGATACACTCGCATCCGGAATTATCCTTCATTCTATGGTTCGAAGAGCTCTACTGATGTGTGACTTTGTATTCCGTGATACGCCCAGTCTAGCTTTTATATACGTACAGGTAGATATATGTACAAGCGATCTCTAGACCCTCCCCCCTGTGTGATATTCGTACAGTATCATATTCATTTTCTTTTGTCTATACCTAACATTCCCGCCAGAATCCCTACTCGTCCCTACTAGACCCAACGCGGGTTTTCTGTCCTCTCGGCCTTCTCCCTCTCCCGATCGCCTGTGGCATATACCCACCCCGCGGCAATAGTGTTGACGATTGCTATACCAACGGCAGAACCCCTAACTAGCCCCCGGACAGAGAAGCGATTCATGAAAGTGCTAGGCCGCCTTCTCATGGCGAGTAGGGCGTAGGTGCCGCTGGCGGCGGCGGTGATGCCTGCGCTATCGATTTTGAAGCCTTGGAGATTCGCATAACTAGAAAATAATAGGATAGGTACGAAAAGCATGGGTCGAATTTGCAGCGGGCGAGAGTGCACGGCCGTTATTAAGGTCGCGAGACCCGTGGGGGCGAATGGTGAATCTGCCGTGCGTATCAGCTACCTACACTAGATGGCTACCTTACGTATGGAGGTATATGTTCGCAAAACAGACGGCGACAATAGTTAGTAGGAGAGATTACGTACTTCCCCATGCTTCGAGGCGCGATCTTACGGATCTGGGTGGCTCTAGTGTTGGTGTTGTCATGATTTAGAAGCCGTGGTAGTGTATCAGCTTTGATATTTTAAGAAGCTTTCCTGATTTGGTTTCTTGATTCGGCGTTTAGAAATTCTCAACACTACTGTAGGAGGTGGGTTTTAGATTAGAATCCAACAGAAACTGAGCTTGGTATCAATGACGATGGTGAGGCTCGAGCAGATAGAGATTCTTGTTATTCTATTGGATAGAAGCTTGAATTATAATGGGGTGATTAAGATGGTGGGGATATTTATCTCTAGTTTATCAGTTATCAGTTACAGTATTTGTACATACGGAATACTAGCCACAATGACTACCTAACACATGGTCTAGACCTTTTGAAGCCACCTATGTTTTACCTAGATCACCTATCACCTATCAATTTTATTTAGGTAACCTTTGAGCATTTTATTTAGACTCTATACGCAGAGCCCTGTGCTGTGAGCCCTGTGAGAATCGTGGAACTTTAGAACATCAGAACTTACGAGTTCTCATCTCCCATTTTTAGCCTCAATTTTTAATTCAATTACAACTTCAACCGCCTACGTTCCCCTAATTGATTGGGCTTGGTCAAGCTTCGCCTCCTGGATTTTGCGCTACATTTGTAGAACCTCTTTTTTATTCGCGAATAGGTTTTCGTTTGGTACATCTGTTCGTCATTCGTCATTCGTCATTTGTTCCGTTCACGATAGAGCGTTTTCCATTCTTATCCGTCCTTCTCCGTGCTCGCTTGATTTAGATCACCTAAGCCCAAGTCGAATCAGCAACCAATATTGTGCACGTAGTCGCGACTATCATTCCCCGTCTCTCCGTATCCGCCCTCCCAAGTACGGTCTCCCTCGGCCATGCCCAGCGCAACCTCTTCCGGTTTCGACGCCTCGGGCGGGTCGACCCGGTCGCGAGATCATAATCAAGGAAACCAAGAACGCAAGTGTACTCCCGAGCAGAAAGCCGCGGTCCTACGAATCCGACGGTGCAAGGCGACCGCCTTCTACGATATCTTAGATCTCGAAGCCGTAAAGACGACGTGCAGCGATGCCGATATCAAGAAGGCTTACCGCAAGCAGTCCCTGCTCACGCACCCGGACAAGAACGGCCACGAACATGCAGACGAGGCTTTCAAGATGGTCAGCCGTGCCTTCGGCGTGCTGGGTGACAAGGAGAAACGCGAAAAGTACGACCGCTTCGGTACCGATCCGGATAGCAGGTTTGAGAGCGCGAGGGCCCAGGCTAGCAATCCATTTAATAATTTTGGCGGTATGAGAGCTGGTGGAGGGCCGGGGGCAGGGTTTGGCGGGGGAGGCATGTGGGAGGACGAAATCAGCCCGGAGGAAATGTTCCAAAGATTCTTCGGTGGTGCTTTTGGTGGACCTTTCGGAGGTGAGTTATCCACTTTGTATCTTTCTCTCTCGAAGGATGCGAACAAAGGGAGGAGAGATCTAACGCAGGCCAGGGTTCGATACGGGACCGCAGTTCGTCTTTAACCTCGGTGGAAATAGGGGCTTCCGCGTACACCAGATGGGAGGAGCAAATCCGCGCAGGAGACCACGGGAAGCCGAAGGTCAGCAACGGCCTCAGACAGGCTGGGACACGCTCATTAGCCTGTTACCGATCTTATTCCTCTTCGTGTTCCCGCTGTTATCGTCTTTATTCTCAGGCGCCGAAACGCAGCCGGCAGTACCCTCGATGGTTTTCGACGCTGCCGCGCCGCCCCTGACTTACCACCGAACCACCCCCAAACTTGGCGTCGATTACTACGTAGATCCAGCTCAGGTGGTTGACTGGAACGACTACAAATTTCGCCAGCTAGATAAAGAGGCCGAGGTCGGTTTCGTGCGCGTCCTCCGCCGCCGCTGCGACGCCGAGATGCGCACCAAACGCGACCTGATCGACAAGGCGCAAGGGTGGTTCTTCCCAGACCCGGACAAGATGAAGATTGCCGACCAGTTTGAGATGACATCGTGTAAGCGTATGGACGCTCTAGGTATCTCGCGGTAGCACACCTCTACAACTTGACTGCATTATTTTCGAGCGACTCGAGTATACGAGACCTGTTGTCCAAAGACGTAAGCAAATCCGTGAGAGACTTTAGTCCATATGACCACTTTGACGTTAATGAAAAGAGCTATGCGTCGATTAGATCAGTGGTGTTTTGACAGATGCGCCAGGCGTTCAGGGGCAGAGTTTGGGAATCAATAGGGTAGCATATCCTCTGCCAAGTCTAGTAGTACGCGGCGGACGTGGGAGTTCTCATATTCGCGTTACATCCTTCAAGTGATCATATAGACAGATAGGCATTCTTACGTGTACCACGTTTTGGCCGTATGTATACGCTTCGTCTTGTGCAGACCGTGTTAATATTGACTCACCTATTTACCTTGTAGTCGTGCCTAAGACAAATACTAAGGGCACATTAACCCCTATAGCCGCTGGATTCTCGTAGTTACCTACCCATTAAACGTATCATGTACCTGGATATTTATTTCTCGGACTGAACGCGCAGCGAGTGACAGAAAATGCTCGCCGAATTTAATACTGACAGCATAGTATGTACCTATATTATTCCACCACCGCATAAAAGCAAGGATAAATAATGGTAAATTCCAACTTACCATAAACCTTTCAACAAAGTTAAACCCTAAGGTTTGGAATTCCATAGTTTGGTTAATAGGTCAAATAGCAACATCCACGTAATACATAGGCGATATAAAGTTTAAACAAGCGCTGTAACAAGACGGCGGCTCATGGGTTTATTAATTCATATGGTTAACGCTCGACATGGCTTGATGTGATACGCGAATTTCCCGTTTTCGCGCGGGCGCTAGAGTAAAGCTTATACTCCAAGATATATATCGTCTACCTTCTTCCCCGCCGAGGATCCATGGCCTCGTTACGTCTAAAGTCCCGAATCTCCTTGGTGCCTAAGCTTCCTAAACCCCCCTCGCTCCTACGCTCCCATCCGCCGAGCCTAACTACAAGGCATGTTGCATTATCGCCGTCGCCGCTGACTTCGGTGGCATATGCCACAACGTCCCTAGCACCCTGTTCCGGTGTCTTCGCTTCCTTTACCACATCTACGATCTCTTGATCGCTCAACGTTCCCGACACGCCGTCGGACATAAGGACGATAAAGCTGTATTGAGCCGGCCCCAACTCCGTCCGCGTGATCTCTGGCTCGGCCGAGACGCCTAGACGCTTGGATGCCATGTCACCAAATGCCCGAGAGTTGGCAAGGCCCTGGATCCGCTCTTCGCCGAACGAGTCCGTTATGGATGCTGCAAACCGTCGCAGACGGTGCGATTCGCTTGGAGAGCTTGGGTGATGATCTGAAGTTAAGGGACGAGACAACCCGGTAGCAGTCTCGCATAGCAGGATGCGTGTATCGCCCACGTGCCCGACTAATAAGGTGGAGCTAGCAGCCGGGTGCCAGAACGGGGCAGGCGTCGGTGTGGATATGAGAGCTACCGAGGCTGTCGAGCCCCCTTTAAATCTTGTAGGGCCGCCGATGCCATGGCCTGACGGTGGCATATGATGTGGCTTTCCCAACACCTCGTCACGATTCAGAGCGGTGTCGGCAACGTAGGGATCGTCAGGGTCAGGTTTGCGGGCTTGAGCGGCGATGAAATCGAGATCCGCACGGAGAAACGCGTACGTGAGAACAGACTCGACGCTAACAGGTGGTTCAGGGGTATCAGGATCCCGCTTCAGATGAAAGTAAGGAGGGTGAAAGCGACGGAAATACCCGCCGACCGTACTCTTATATTCCTTTACCAGTTCGTTTTGTAGTTGGAGGGCCTTCGATTCCGATGCTCTAGCTGGCACAGGCTGAACACCCTCTATAGCGTCGGGGTTTTCGACTTCATGGATTGCGCCGCGCTTGTCTATCCCCGGCGTGTCAGCCTTAGCCGGCGCGGCCTCTGAACCCTTAATATCCACACGGTCAAGTCTCTTCTGTCCGCCAGCTTCACTGTCTGATAAAATTGGAGTTGGCGCACTGTGAGATTCTGAATCTGATCTATGTCCCTTCCGCACCGCCCGGAGGCTACTTTTTAGTTCGAACTCTTCGGCTGCCTCCTCGATATATCCATGGAGCTCATCCCGTAGAAAATCACTGCACTGAGTGCCTCCGTGACCGTCGAAAACGGCAAAGTAGAAGATCTGGGGATCTCCGTAGGGGCTGTCGGCTGAAGTTCCTTCTCCCGTCTTGTTCATGGTACTGCGGACGAGACTAATAGGGGCCCGCTTTGCGAACGCAGGGATGTCGATGGTGCCAGCCTGATTCGTGTCTTCATTGTATGGCCTGGATCCTCTTGAATCCGCGACTCCAAAGTGGTGTTTAGCGCTACGCAGGGGAATGCGCACGACGGTCAAGTCGCGGTTGGATGGCAAGTGAGGCGGAGACACGGGCGCCGCACCGGAAACTTCAGTGTGAGGCGCGGCAGCAGAGCGAGGTAACTTATGGTGAGGTCCAGTCGGAGGGCGAGAGTCCGGGTGTAAGGAGGAGGACGGGAGATGCGTGACAAAATACGTGTGAAAGCTACGCTGGACATTATGATGTGGTGCAGTTTTTGGAACTCGTGATTCGATGCGGGATGAAGTAGCATTTGCACTTTGTGGTATTGGTATTGATCTAGAAGGTCTCTGTGTTGCTGTGCACCTTACAACCGCCTGGCGCGTATACGTCCGCGTCTGAGTCTCGAAGAAGGTTGCGATGAAGCCTACTCGAAGGACATGTTAGCCGGCTTGGAACTTTGGCAGAAGCTGGAGAGAGAAATATGCAAGATCCTAGAATATTTGACCGACCATAAGTATCGTTCAGAGACCACCGCTTCGGACGACCACGGCTAAGACCCATCCCGACGTAGAAATGCTCGTGGAGCGAGCGATTATTTTACTTATAACGAGGCCTATGAGATGTACGATGTACCCATCGGATCGAGACGTGAATATTTCGAAGATGTAGGAGTTGATCGAGAAGCCCCGAAGCTCGGAGTAGAGAATGGCCCAAACGATAAGGGACTAGGCATGCCAACCTAGTCTTGGTGATAGTTCTAAATCATAAGATAATGCAGGACTCGAAAGAGGCTAGAAGCAATATCACGTAGATCTAAGACCTAAGACCTAAGAGGGATTAAGATACCAATTGGCAAAAACCTGAACGAGGATTATTTCTGAGACGCCGATAATGTTCCTGGCAAATGCTAGGATTAACACTGATAGGAAAATACCTATCATAGGAGAGTTATTATAGATATTATAGCTATGCAATGCAAGCTTACTTGTTGGGATTAGATAGGATGAGGTTTGAGGTTATGGGGAAGAAATGCTGTGAGGTAGGATTGGCAGGATTGGCAGGACTGACTTGCCGGGGCCGAATTACAAGAAATTATTACCCCAACCCGACGCCCTGGACCGTTACAGGCCGGAAGGTTCCATCCACTACCTACATCGACGTCGTTGTGGAGCGAATTTACACTACTTAGTGCAAGTACCTTTGTGTAGGTTATCAGGTACATGTGTATTGTATAAACTGCCCATACATTATGTAGAAGACGCTTATGTGCTATGCCGTCATAGTACCCGAATACTGGTTCAAAGAATCTATGCGGGGCTATCTTTCGCTTCTGGGTATATCGTCTGATAGTCTGATAGTATAACGTGCGATAAGATAAAGATAATAAAAGATAAAAAAGAATACAGGGGATACGAAGGGTACGAGTTGCTTTTCGAGTATACCGCTCCATCTCTCAACTTTATAAATGTATAACGGTCGATAGTCAAGCAAGTCAAAATAGACCACATTCTCACCAAAATACCTACGTTTATAAAAAATACCAGAAGGGGAACTGGATCCTGATCCGGCAAAGATCCAAAGTCTTATGTAGCATCGACCTGCATTTCCCCATCTTCACGCGGACACACGGGAGAGACTAGCGCGCGCTCTAAACTCGTTATTGAATAACACATCGCCCCCTCTATATAGAGTCTTGTGTTCATATCCTCTCTTAGACATTATTTTAGACATTACGTCCATTACGTCTCTTACCGGACCGGATTATGTCTATATCCAATGTCGGCTCCGTCGTTCTACACCTCGTGGTATTCGTGACAACCCTTGTCAATTTTCACTCGGCGTTAGCTCACGTCGAACCTGTCATACTCATCGCCATCTATATAATCTCTAGACTCTTTGCCCGGACCCCCGATGAATTTTGCATGTTAAAATGTCCCGAGTTCTGAGTACACGGGGCGATCCTGAAGTAGCCATCAACGGTTATGTGACTCCTCGCGAAGACTACTTTGACCGAGGCGCCTCTTCGCCGGTTCTGTCGCTGTCGAATCGGGATCGGGATCGGGATCGGCGGGAGAAGAGGCCACCCCCGGTTCCTCTCCACGCTCCGCCTAACGCTGATAGCCTAGCTAGGATGATCTCCAACGCTAGGAAGTCAAGAAACGGGAAGAAGATTGGAATTCGGGATCGGATATGTTGTCATCAATGGACTTGGTTTACAATGGTATGTTGTTTTTTCGATATAAAAGTTCCAAGTGTTGCTTCTTGGCCGCTAACGCCGATTTAGACTATGGTAAGCTGGGCTGTCAAGAACACCTGTACCCGCGGGTCCTCGTGGTCTTATCTATCGGTTTCCCGTATATTTAACGAATTGTCAACATAGGCAACCGGCGGCGTCGCTAACGTCCTTTACTCCGTATGGACCCCGTACCGCACCGACTGGCTTTGGTACATTGGACTCGTCTTTTTTCTCTTTAATATCTGCCTCTTCGTCATGAATTGCGTCTTAATTACGATGAGATTTATTATGGTTCCTAGAAGCTTTCTTCGCTCATTCCTAGACCAGGTGGAGTCTCTCTTCATCCCATCCGTGGTAAGCTCTGTTCGTGATCTCCTCGTCGGCATGGAGCTCATGTATCACTCAATAAATAGGTAGTCTCGTAAGTAGCACGCAATCGTATGAGTCTCCCATGCACTTACTGACTACGAACGCAGTACAGCCACCATCTTAATCAACACCTGCCAATACGGAATCCCCATGACCGGCCCCTGGTTGCAGCGCGTGATGGAATGGCTCTTCTGGATCTATATCGTTGTCAGCGTAGTGGCGAGCGCTGGCATGTACCTGATCCTATGGTCTACTCAGTTAGTCGGCTTAGCCCCTTAAGCGTCTGGTTATCCCTAACATATCGTACCCCTTACAGGATCTTTCCTATCCACACCATGACGCCTGTGTGGGTTTTCCCAGGTTATCCCCTTCTCCTGACCGCCCCGTTTGCCAGCACGCTCATAGCAGCAAACACAGCCGCTTCGGATAACCCGCCGGCCGATGGGTTGGCAATCGCGATGTGCGCAATATCGGTGCAAGGGACTGGGTTTCTCATTAGCTTCATGATATGCGCTGCGTTTATCTATCGACTTATGACGCAGAAGTTACCGAGAGATATGCAACGACCAGGCGTTGTGAGTTCTGATGAATGATGTCTCTTGAGAAGGCCTGATGCTCATGTAACTAGTTTATTTCTATCGGACCTAGCGGTTTTACCGTAGCAGGATTAGGTAGGGCTCCCTGCTTGCATTTCGTTCCGCTGTGCAGCTACGGTCTATAAAAACACCCGGGCTAACGCAATAGGTAGTCTCGCTTGGCCAGCAATCCCACATCGTTATCCCGGACACCTTTCAGGGCTCGACCCATAGTATCGTGATCTTGCGATTGCTCTCGACCATTGTCGGATTGTGGCTTTGGGGTCTCAGCGTCTGGTTTTTCCTGGTTTCGGTCGGCTCCCTTCTGAAGTACGTACGCCCCAAACGCAAGATGCCTTTTCAGATGACCTGGTGGTCCTTCGTCTTTCCAAACACAGCCCTCGTGAATGCAACCTTGGCGCTAGCCACCGCCCTCGGTAGCACCGGACTTCGCATCACCGGCTGTGCAATGGCCGCCGTCCTAATCGTCGTCTGGGCGCTTGTCTTTATTTCCATGTTACGATGTCTCTGGAATAGGGAGCTACTGTGGCCAAAGGAGTTAGAGAGCGAGTAAATAGGAGGTGGAATACGAAGAAAATATTAGAAAAAGCTGGGCATTTTTGATCTTGTCATCTAAAACCCTGGCGGGGAAAAGGATTGGTTGCAGCATTTAGCTACAGTTAGAATGATTATACCCGTATCCCGATAGAGTTCTGGAGGCAAAAATGGCGCCTATTTCCAGGATTCTACGGGATAGACATAATTACATTATCTCGAATTTAGGTATTGTTTTATTCAGCATGCAAATGCCTGCCCGTCAGGGCGAGCGAGGAGACAAGGTGGACATGGAATATCAGCTATGGACTTGTGATACTTGGTGCATACTGATAGAATACCGGCGCAGACAAACCAAGGTAGCTAGTCGATCTCTTCAATCTTAGGCCTCGCTTTCGGCTCCAAGGAAGGCAAGCTCGGAGCGGCCCCTATATCCAACCCGGCTAGCCGCGTCAGCGCAGAAGTACCCTGGTCGTTCCGGGCCTCTGCAGCGGAGGGCAGCAAAGTGCTTAGTTGCCAATTATGTAGGCTCTCTACGACGTCTTTCGCGTGTTGCTGTACCAATCCATCGTTGTCCGTCTGAGCTACGTACTCTAGCACGCGCGCGATGTCCTGCCGGCTCGAGTCGGTTAACCCGAAGCCAAGACGTCTACCGCTCTCGCGTGCGTCTGCGAGCGCTCGTACGAAATGCAGGATGAGTATAATGGCAGCTCGGCGAAGTATACCGGTCTCTGGGCCTGTTTCTAGGGTGAGAACGTTAAGACACAGATCAACAGATGCCTCGACAAGAGGGGCACCTAGGCCGGCGACGTTGGTCTCGATAGCAACCGAGAACACGGACAGCGCCGAGGCACGCATACGTACGTCCTCGGCTCCGCGCTTACTCTCCCAGCCGGACACGATCTGCGCGATGAACTCGTTGCGCGCTTTCTCATCTTCCGTCTGCTCGTCGTCGAGTTCGCTAAGGTCGGGTACCTCGCCCTGCCAAGCATCCTGTGCGGCCTTGTTCTTCATCTGCTCGAGTCGCTCTTGGCGATCTTGTTTTGCCTTGGATTTAGGACGTTGAGCGCGTCGACCCGCGATCGCGAGGAGCGCCTCACCTACTTGCCGTGCTGTTTCGCCTGAAAAGGTCTCGCCAAGGCGCTGGACTACTTGAAGCAATGCCTCGCCGAATCGGAGACGAGTGTCGGTGGTTTCTAGTTCGTTAGCATCGACATAATGATCCAAGATCTCCTTGGTGGTTGAGCGGGGGTGTCGGTTGGCGAGCTGAGTAAACAGCTTTACCACGGTCAAATTGACATAGTCGTCATCCTCATTTAGCAGAGACGAGAGGAGGACTAGAATAGCTTGAATATCAAGAATAGGGCTGCTGGCCCGTATCAGGCTAGACAGCAGATTCAGACCCTCCGTGCGCACCGGCGGAGGCGAGTCCGACTGTGTGATATAAGAGATAGCCAGGTTGTAAGTTTTGCGGTCTTCGACCTGGCGATCTGTAAGTACTGTCGTTTGTTCGGACGGATCTTCTATAGCATCCCGGTACTTTAGTAGGAGGGAAAGGTTTCGAGCTGTTTGCGATACGTCCGCCGCTTGTAATTTACTTATGTTTTCCAGGGATTTTTCTATAGATGCAAGAAGATCGGCGCGGACATTCGCTTTCTGAAAGCCGGGAGCCGTAACTACAAGATTGAGCAGGCTAAGCGCTATAGCCGTAGCGTCGTCATTGAATGTAGCCGACGATGTTTCGGACTCGCCTAGTATCTGGCTGACGAGTTCGAGCATTTGCTTCCAGCTCGAGACTAGCTGGCCGGATAGCTTCTCCATCATTTTCTGCAGTACTTTTGCCTTTATTAGCTGCACTGTCGGGTCTTCCTGTTTCACTGCGTCCGGGATTAATTTGATCTCTTGCGTAGTATCCGTAGCGCCGAGCGAATCTCGTAGCAGGCTAAGGAATAGCGTAGATATATCTGAATCGGTTCCGACCGACTGCAAGAGCTCTATAAAGGCATCCGATTTAGACTCTATGAGGCCTAAGTTGAACTCGATTTCTGCATCATTCGTGCTCCCCCGTAGGCGTTTCACCTGGATGTTAGAATCCCCGACCATATCAAATAGCCATCGAAGCTTGGGCTCATTCCTACTCCCGTTTACTAGAAGGTTACTAAGAAGGGTTTGGAACTTCTCTGGAGAGCCCGAAATTTTGAGATATATTTTTAGGAGAGCATTCGCTGGGTTTCTATACTGCGCATCAAACTCACTACTCGCAGGTGGCCAAGACGACAATGTCCATAGCGGTAACATCAATGGAGTAAGCAACCTCTTTGTCAAGCCTGGATTCGGATGCGAGTTCAGCAGAGAAGACAGACGTCTTAGCGCGTTACGCAGATCGACAGCTTCGACGAGGATAGCCTCTTTACGTAAGTCAACAACATCATCAGGGCCGGCACTGAATACAAGGGGTTCTTGTGTAGGCTCCTCGGACGATAGAGTAGGGTTTATCTTGGAGAGCATTGGCTCGGCAAACGCTTTCCACCCAGGTGTTCCTGAATCTTGGTGTTAGCGGATACAACTTTGCGAGAGCTTCCCTTGGCGAGTCGTACCAGGTGCCCCAAATTGCTTCCTCCCTAATACGCCGAAACCGATCACATAAGCGGCCGCTTTCGCAAGATCTGTGCCGTCTTTCCCGTCAAGGAGAACTAGAAGCTGGGGGGCAATACCGGGAAACCATTGCTCCGGGGGAATGGTAGCGGGTGGCGTAGAGAGCAGACTAGAGGCGAGTTTGAGAGCTTCCATGGTGATATTTGCACCTTGTTTCTGAGGTGCGGCCGCCTCGGATGGGTTTACAGTGCTCGAGGGGTGGACGGAAAAGACGAATTCCAAGGTGGCCCGGACGCCATCATGTCGTTGTGGAAGCAAGGTAAGTACATCCATCAGATGGACTCGAAGCCATGCCGGAACACGATCGGGTTGGGTCAACTTGCTTAGAGCGGACATAAGTGCCATGGTATTGGACCTACAACAGATGTTCAGAAGATGAGAATGGAGTTATATCAGACTACCTACCTCGACAAAATGGTGCTAAGTTCCCTTTGACCTTCCGAGCGAGATTCCGCGTCGCTTTGAGGCTGAAAAGCCTTTAAAGCAGCCTTCTCGATTGCGGATTCGAGCGTACTCTTTTGGCGATCCATGATGGCGTAGCAAGGAAGTTTACAGATTCGCGAGATTAGAGAAATCTGGCTCGTATTTACTAAGTTTATTTTATTTATCAACCTTCATAGCATATCCAAAGATGTTAAATCTAGTATAGCGGACATCGCCATATCTGATAAAATGTGTATACGTATGAGCTACGTCGATACAGATTATTAAGTGAATGAATGAGAATCTTCCATAGCAGTTAACGTTTGTGGGGTTGATACTACCTAAGGATAGAGTTATGTACATGTACCTAAGTATCTACACGTAGTGGTACTTCGGGTACGTCAGTTAGGTACAACATAGGTAGTTCCACAGCGGGGTCAGATGACATTGTAGCACGCTTAGTGTAAATGGCACGACGCGGTTACTTTAAATTCTCGCGTCTTACACTTTATTTACTTTCTTTTACTTCCACCAATCATCATACTCCTACAGCATCCATCAGCATCCATCACCAACTTCCAACTATCCTTTATCGGAGACGAGTCTACTGTTGATATCTAACCCGAGATACAGGCTGCATTGCTCTATCGCATTTTACCTCCCTCAAGTTAGAGCTCTTTCGCTTGTATCTTCTTCCTAGCGGAGAAGATTGAGCACATACATACCTCGCACTACGCCTCCCCCACAGTCCTCCGATTCCCATTTTCCGCAAGGAATGTCTTCGTGACCCCTCGATTGAATCCAAAAACACCTCGCACGATACGTCGCTGCTCGGGGTCTGACCTGATGAGCATTGCCGCGTGAGGATCGTCGTGCGAAGGTAGTCAGTCATACCTGGCTAACGGATCAAGCGCTAGGGAATGTGTCTCGGAACTTAACCCTACCCTATTTTGGTTCCAAGTCTTGCGCTCATAGCCTTCTAGATTCCGCTTTATAAGCTTCTCGTTGCGCCTGTGAAAGTCATACCCTGCTGAAAAGCAGGTTTGGCTGATCGGGCCTTCGAGGGGTGGAAGGGTGGTGGTTAGATGCTCTCCAGTCGCCTTCGGGTGCGCGAAGTGCCTTTGCTATGAGTCGTAACCGTTAAGAACTCCTGGCCTGGAGTCGCTCGTCAGCTCTGCGCCGCTGGAATTTATACTCTGATCTATGTCACCGTGCTGGGGATGTTTGTGTGGGCCGCATATGATGGAAGATGGCATTCTTGGCAGCTTTCTGCTGTTGGCTAGATGTAGTATCGACTTTCTTGAGTTGGCTATGCGCCGCCGAGGATGATAGGGAAGAACGTGACGCTGGCTACATACAGTCGAAAATCCGGGATACTTTCATCTTGTCGCTGGTATTGTTCGCCAGAATCACTTCTAAGTGAGCGACGGCCACGCGGCTACAACAGAAAGCTTCCCTGAATCCTTCGATCCCTCTACCGTCACGTCATACGCACCGAGTACCCTGTCGCCTCTGGTCGCAGTCTGGTCATCTGCAGTTGTCGGTGTAAAACCCGACCCTATTCGAGCCGTCACAAATCCATCCACTCCATCTGCTCTAGTCCTACCCAACTCTTAGCACCGCATCGCGGCAGCAGCCATTGATGTGTCATTGTATGGGGTGAGATCAGGCGCATTAACCTCTTCCCGTGGGTCTTGTCCCACGACGATAGGGGACGCCAAAAACCTATTCGTCGGCTGCTCTTGTGGCAGTTGATGAATATCCCTCGCCTCGGCCAGACATGGTCAGAGGGGAGATGACAGCGCGACTTTTATGGATGTCTTTTGGTCGTGCGGAAATGCCCCCCTTGCTGCTTGTTAGAGCTCGTCGGGGAGGAATCAAAAACTAGTCCGCGTTGGCAATGCGTTTAACAGAAAGAGCATTTCTTGAGATCGAGATTGGTGTGAGAGGTAGATACAGCCTGCCGGTTTCAGCAGTAGACTTTGTCAAAGATGGTATGGGATCATGTGGGAAGTAGGTTCCATGGAACTGTTGCGAGGCACACATGATTCTACAATCCGTCGGATGCCAATCTCTATAGTGACAGAACCGGGATCCATCTCGTGTTGGAGTCAAAGCTTAGTGCTTGTCCGGGTCTATTCACTAAAGCGAGCAGTGTCAGTACGGGAAGACTCAGTGTGGAAAATTTTTTGGATATCAATAAGGACAGGCCAATAAGGAGGGTAGTCCTAGGTTGTCCTCTACTCTATGGGTAGAGGGCAGCCCCCTAATTTGTTGGGGATAAGTCCCGCCGCGGTCTCCGAAATGTTCGTATCAGTTGCTAACATCGAGCAGGTCTCGTGTACCGAAAGGCCCGAGGAGGTATCCATCGTTCACTCACTCGTAGCTAAAGCCCTTCTGCTTTGGACGAGGTCCCGAAGTCTTCCGCTATACGTTGATTTACGAATGACGTCGCCGTACATCAAGCTCTCGTTGTCCACCTTTTCGTGAACTGCAATATTAGCTGTTATCATGAGTTCTGGTAAGGCTCAAGTTTACCGGCGATACCTACCTAGGAGATATTTACCTCTGCGCCTACTACGCCCTGCTAGTCCGACCTATACGTACCAACATACCTGAGGTTTTCCTCTTGTGGTTATACCGGCCTTTTCAAAGATGTGATAGTAATTCTCTACTAGAACTCGGACGCTTGTGTAATGTTTGCATTGAATATATTCAACTCAATAAATTTCTTCTGAATCCGGTAGCTATTCCAATTTCCAGACACATTGATTGGATAGAGCCCGATAGGTGGCGAGCAAAGCCCCAAGAAATGTAACAGCGCAGTACTTATCTAGGTCATCCGTAACGCATCCCTCGATACAGCTAAGGGTTAGCTCAGTATTAATAGAAATCATTCACAGCCGAGATTTGGAGAATTCTGATAGACAAATTTTGACAGTTACCTTTTTCTATCTTCGTTGCGGTACATATGCTTCGTGTACCCTATATGCAGCTTATCGGCAAACGGCACCGTTTTTTCTCTGGGAGTCTGGGCAGTCTGGGCATTCGGGTGGCGTGCCGATCAAGGTTTATTCATCCCAAGGAATATCGAGGCATTGGCATTAACATCAGCATCAACATCGACGGACAACCATATCAATAACCCACACTAACCTACCGATCATTTCCCTGTGCTCTCTTCTTGATTTTTAAATGTCTTTACGCTCACATAAATATTCGTCTCGTTCATCATGGCTAACGACGAAAAGAGGTCCTGGTCGTCGCACCTCTCCTTCATTCGTACCAAGAGAGCCGTTTTCACTTTGACCTTGTTGGTTATTATATCTGCCGTATTAATCGGTGAGTTCTATTACCCGCAGACCTAAATACCTACCTGTTCTATCTTCTAAATTCTCCTTTCCCTCTCAGCTCTCGGTGCCACGCACGTACTTCGACCCAAGACATATCCCAGCGATGATGATCAACAACCCAGCAGTGGTGATCAACAACCAAGCGGTGATGATCAACAACCAAGCGATATTAACATTACGGCCAACGGCATCATGACCGCTCCGGGCAATTGGAGGCCGAAGAATTCCAGTAGCATCGCTAACGGAACGCCCTTGCGTATCATGTCGCTCGGCGCCTCTCTAGTTCGAGGTGAATTCTCGACTGGCGATGTCGGTTTTCGCAAGACGATGCGCGACGAATTGGTCAATCTCGGTGTCCCTGTCAATATGGTCGGCTCCCAACGCTTTGGCGAAATGCTTGATAACGATCTCGAGGCGTATGGCGGCAACCGCATCAGCCAGATTCACGAGCATGCCACGCATATAGTACCCCAGCTACAGCCCAACTTATTTCTCATACATGTGGGATCAAATAATGTTCTACAAAATCGAGACGTTGATGAGGCTGGCGCGCATATGGAGGACTTCATCAACTACCTACTGAACGCGTCGACGCGGGCTACCGTCATATTCAGCACCTGCTTGACTAACACAGTTCCCGATTGCGAGCCCAAGATCCTTGATGTTAACGAGCAGTACCGAAATATCATCAAAAAGTTTGATTCGAAGCCCGTTTTGCTGGCCGAGATGCATCCTAGCGAAGGCTTCCCGGACCGACCTCAGGCTATAGACATTGGACCGGACGGTACGCACCCGACGGACTATGGATATGACCTGATGGGGCACATCTTCACGGAGAGTATCCAGGAGGCAGACAGGAAAGGTTATCTCCGATGGCCAGTCGAAAACGGGCTCGAGAAGGACGGAGACGCAGGACGAGCTGAAGAGACTACAACGACCCAAGAACTCCCACCCTCGATTTCGACAAGTACCAACACTAGTTCAACACATGCCGCAACGGCTATAGAAATCAATCGTTGAAACCCGTAACCAGTCTAAAGCACTTGATATACGATTTAATGTAGTGCGGATTGATTATATCGCGTCTAGTCGAGTCGAGTTGAGTCAAGTATATCGCAATTTGACGGTACTATGTAGTACTCATTTAAGGATGTAGGCCGAAGAGATGCTTCAATCTCCGGATACCCCGCAATTTGGATCGGTTAGGCACTGCCTCTGTAACGGGACCAAATATGATCGAAATCGCGACATCGCGATGTTAGAGGGAGACTAGGATCTTGAAACGTAACTCCTAACCCACATACTACGTAGAATACCAAACACTTACATAGATCCAGCTTTTTTTACGACTGTCTTCCATTATGATATTGGAATCTCGCTTTGCTAATCATAAGTTGATGCGAAGCTACCTAGCTACCCAGGTATTATTGCTCATAATTACATGTATTTTCAGTATAAGTAGCCGTTTCAGTGAATTAAATTCTCACCGAGGAGGTATTGAGGCCGATAAAACCTCGACCGGGCGCTAATACGACCCCCTGCCCCCCCTTCCCCGGACCGTCTCAGACTTGGTCGAAACAACAAGGGTTACAACACCAACCAGTTATGATGTATGTGTTATGGGTTACGCGAGTTTCCATGTAGTTTCGATCGCTGATTTTCCCATAAAATTAATATCATGTACTGATCTCCACGATCTACAACTTTATTTTCTCATATCCTCCTCCGCTTCGACCGACCCTACTAACAAGACCAATAAACAGTCGATTCCCCTGTGTAGACCACGATGGAATCTCAAAAAGCTAAGTACGCAAACTTACGGCGTGTCGATGATCGCGATGACTCGAGGTCCAGCACCGAAGTCGAGGATTCTCTAATGGGTGATGAGAAGCAGTGGCACGACGTGGAACTAAACAGGCCGACAACACGTACGGGGAGATTAAGCAGATTCATCACGACGTTTAAATCGGCGAGATGGGTCATCGATACGGGTTTACTGCTAATTATACTGGTGCTATTAATTCGAGACCAACGGCGCCGGCCGGCAGTGGAAGAAAAAGAAGTCAACCCGTGGCAGTTCGGTCAAGACCTAACAGGAGTCGGCCCTAGATGTAAGTTTAACTCAGTTGCTAGCTGGTAGTCTCTTGATAAAATCTGACAGACTCCAGTTTCTCAAAGAATCACGACATTTGAGAGAGATGAATCGTACGCGCCGAATAACACGGCTGAGTTCTTCACGGACGAGGTATTACAGAGATGGAATGATCTGATGCCAAGTATTCGCGACGACCCCACGTTCTAGGAATTTTGCTAACTAGTGGATAGAGGGTATGGGGTTCGTTTGGGTAAATGACACGCAAAAGTATCATGATCTTCCAACACCCATTGAGTGGCCGGATAAGACCGTCTTTACGACGTCGGCAACACATCAATTGCACTGTCTCGTAAGTTGCCTGCTAACTCATCCATACCCCCGGAAAATCCGTAGTATCAAAATCTAACCATCTATCAACGACAGTTTGCCATTGTCCAGACGTACTCAGGCTTAACTTCAGGTTACGAAGTACCAGGCGACCATCACTGGCACATGATCCACTGCTTCGACTACATGAGACAAGCCATTATGTGCAGTTCTGATATGGCCTTAGAAGGCCTTGAGACAACATTCCCGGACCATAATGGGGGTTCCGACGGTTGGGACTCTAAGCATGGTAAGCCCCAAAGCATTTCGTCATATTCCATATTGGATACTAATCATTTAAAAAGTGTGCCGAGATTGGAATGATGTCAAGTCATATCTAGAGAGCGTGCGGGCATATGATGACCAGCTAATCTACTAATTCTTTGTTTTATATAAGCGATGATGAGCGATTGGGGTTAGGCGTAGGATTCCGGGCTGGCTGTCAATTTTATTACCTGTATTATGAGGGTCAAGAGAAACCGTAAAAGTTATTAGCTAGGCAGATATTAGAAGTTGCGATATGGCAATTTGCTTGATACAATTGAGATATCTAGCGATATTTAAAGGATATACGAAAATATATAATAATCAATTATCTGCCTACACAAGTTACCTACACGAATTACCTATGTGAATATTGCCCTCTAAACCACATAATTAAACCTATTTCGAATATAGACATCCATATACCGCAAACTCTCCCTTCACCCGCTTCTCCTCTTCGACGACGAACATCTCGGCTTCTTACTTCCTCTACTCTTATTCTTGAGCGGCCTCCTCGGGATAACAGACGGGGCAAGTCTCGTCGATGACCGGGGAAATCGGGTGGCCACTCTTTGTCATGATGCTGTTAGTAATGCGTATAGGATGGTAGCTTTGACCCTGCAAGCCGAGCCTTGCGGACAAACACTTCTTTACCACGGATCTAGTATGACGACTATGCACCGGGTTCTTGCATCTTCTATAGTCTTCTACGGTACACTCGCACATCTTGACTGGTTTTAAGTATGTGTGAACAAGGAGGATATTTGGGTACAGCCTGCTGGCGACAAGTGGTTCCTACAGGGGGTTGAAATATTGTGTAGGAACCTAGTATAGTAAACTGGAAATTTTTTCTAATGGCTAGGAATCTGGCTTCGAATGCAATCTACCGGCACGCACGCCGTTATAAAACCTTGTTAAATATCAAGTTTATTGTTTAAAGAATCTCAAAGACATTGTGTACTGTCGCCTTTCACCTTTGCAGACCAGTTTGACTAATTCCCTATTAAGTTTCATTCAACCAAGATACTAAGCGGCTTTCTATGTCTCTTAGTTATCCCTCTTCTTTCAGCTGCTCTTGTTGCGACCGTTTAATGCTTGTTTGTAGTTTTCTTGTTACTTAGCTGACTACAAGCTCTACTGAGAGGTTCAATCTCAACTACACGACTCACAGCATAGTAGCCATGGACGAAAATCGAAGCATTGTTATCTAAATCAAGCAGTAAAGTACCGGGAGAACAAAGCACTCCTCTAAATCTGCAATAACAAGCGAGACTAGTTGTTTCTTTTCCAGGTATACTACAAAGTATTATTACCATAACAACATTCGTTAAACTATGGAAGTTTTCCCCGGGAAGGCAATATGTATGAGCAAAGCTTTGTCTCGATTAAGAACCGCACCCAACTCATTCTCACATTAGTTAACCCTTGAATTAATTATTATGAATTTTTATTGCCAGCGTCTATAGAGCGTCTATAGACAGAAAGTCTTTGGTATAATGAGGACTTTACATAAAGTCAGGTAGTTACATTAGGTACCTAATTTCATACAAATGGAGTTTGTGTGAATTGCTAAGGTGATGATATCAACCAGAAGGCTGCATTGAGTAAGAACATTTGAAGGCTATAAAGTAGGACTAGGTGTAATCCGTATGTGTGAATCTGAAGCAGTACTAATAAGAGTAGCTCGAGTTTCTGGGCATGTGGTATGTTAATTGGGTACCAGGTAATACATAGTCAAAACAAATGTCAAAATTTAAGATTAAATTTAATGGTTAAGTTTCGAAGCTTTGCTTTGCCGAATCTATTAACTAACAATAGTTAAACTTACCTTTTAACTATACTTTTTGGTACTGCTGAGTTTTGAAGTACATATGTGTTTACATGTGACATATGTAACGCCTAGACCGTGCATGACAGGCGATTTTGCCCCTGAAACACTATTGCTGAATATCTTACACAATACCTGTGCGCATGTGGCCAAGAATTTGAAGTACCTGTAAAGTATCCATGGCAGCCACAATTCTCTCTTTAGGTACTTGCTGCACCCTATGCCCCTACATAGGTACAGTACATCTTGAGATGCGATAAAGACTCTACCTAGGTACCCTGGTGGGTAAGCGGGTAGGTACTGTGAGCCGCTAAATGGGCGCTAGTGAGGGACGGCAGGTAGGTATTGTACAATACGGGCAGTAACGCGTTCCTCGGGCCATGCGCCACAGTAGAGACGCGGAATTTTGGCCGATCCAGACGTCAAAGAATTTCTGGCCTGAACCCTGAATATCTGAACTAAACTAATAACCTCAACTTATCTGCGAAACCAAATAAAAATTACAGAATAATAGAATTATTCGCTACTTTCCTTTGCCTAAGAAATTTATATCTCTTTTTATCCACCTAGGTACTTAGGCATTCAAAGTCCCAAGTCTTCAATCTGTTGATCTTGCGTTACGAATTCCGTGCCGCTCTGTCCTTTTGCCGCCTTGCCGCTCTGCCCTATCAGACCAGACCAGACCAGACCCAAACCTGACTCGGCCGTGCATTATCCTGCCTCCCTTTCCTCCTCTGTCCCCTCCGGTGCGACTGTGTGAGGGAAAGACGACAGGAACGCAGGGGGAGAGGTTCGAGCGAAGATGCAATGTCGTATCCACCGGCCAAGCGACAGCGATCCAACACGTCGCGAGATTCCGTCAACGGCAACCCGCAGACCACAGCTCCCGCCCTGCGACATCACCAAATCAGTCAGGGTATCAACTTGTACTCGCCTACAGGCTATGAAAATGGCGGATATTCCCTCCAGCCCGCCACACGCCAGACCGTCGCCTACAACCCCTACTCTCCCGGTGCGGTGACAAATCCAGCTGGCGGATATGGCGGAGCATACCAGACCTCATCAGCAGGCTACGGTGCCGGTCCGTACAGTCCCCAACAGCAGGCTAACACCTTCGCGGCTCACTACTCTCAACCTCCTACAAACGGCCACATGACGTCTCACGCTACACACTTTAATGGGATTCGGAATGGAAACTTCGCCGAGACACAGGCACAAGCACAAGCACAGACGCAGACGCTCTTACAAGGACAGTCACCACAGACGGCCACGGGTGGAACGTATTCGCCCGTACCGACAAATCACCACATCGCAAATTATAACCAGCAACAGCGTACTAACCCCCCAACGTCCACAATACCACAACATCTATCACAATATGGGGAGCCGTACACTTCCCAGCCCACAGCCCACGCCACATCGTATCATGCTAGTACCAATTCCTATTCGGACGCTTCTACCTTGAATTCCCACTTTAGCCCGGCACATCTGCACAGTCCGGCCCATCTAGCAAGCCCGGCTCCTCTATCGACTTCCGCAACCCAGAACGGAAATGGTCATATTTCCGACGATGTTATGCAAGAGGATGACGACGAGGAAGAGGATGCGCAAGGCGAGACGGCGGACGAATCGACAGATGTAAGGAGCAGCAAGAAAATTTACTAACGGGTCTATATAGTGATCATGGAATGCTAACGCATGCCTCGT